ACGTCTTGTAGCATATATATATATATATATATATATATATATATATATATATATATATATATACACACACTTCAATGTTTTGCCATCTTGGAACAGGTAACTAGTCATCGCTCACAGTAATAAATAAATTTTCCAAGTTGCAGAGTAGTAGTACTCCAAAAATGTTTAATTACATTTTTTTATCAGTAAGTCTTGAGAGATATGTCAGTAAATATGTTAATAGATTTGAACTATACTTAGTATGAAATAAATGTATTTTAAATATATTTATTTTTTACTAGGGCTATTATGCAAATATCACTTTTATAAGGTGTTTGAACACAGTTGTGGGGCCACAGTGTGTGAAAACAACCAGCCTACAATGGTAAAAATCCACCCACTCATTTTTTTTTTATAATCCCAAAAATTTATAAACAGTCTCTCCAAATGAGCGGTTTCAGATTCTCCCTTTGTACAGGTCACTGAAGGGAAAAGTCCTGCCCATTTGTGACGCTCTCTGCCCTATTAGCATAGACACAGGCCTGAGTGAGAAGCAGCAGTCCGCCATTACTGTTTTCTTGCTGTAACGTTAGCTGCTGGAGATTTACAATGTCAGCGCTAAAGAGGCATTGCAAGTGTTGTGTTTTGGGATGCACATACGAACATAGGCATCTCCATAGACTCCCTCCATCTGAGCTGCTGAGGACACTGTGGTTAAATTTCATTTTCGAAGGAAATATCCCGGAAAAAATCGGTAAAGTCCCCTATATGTTTAGGGATCAATACCATCGCTTCTTGCACGGACGTCAGCTCCAGACAAAGGAAGTATCACACGTTTTTTTCCAAATTGCCTTTCTGAAAGAGTTTCTTGGCACTCTGTAAGGCTAATGTTGCTAAAGCTATGCCCGTTTTCACTGATGCTGCCTTCAAATAAAAAATTGCATATGAAAGCAATGTCAGAATCAGAATCAGAAATACTTTATTAATCCCCAGAGGGAAATTAGGTTAGTTACCGCAGCTCAATGTGAAGTCGACTGCTTGAATTTGTCGAGCTCATAATCACACGTGGGACATATAAAGTTTGTGATAGCATGCTAAGGCACAATGAGACCAGCTGTCATTATTTTTATTGTGCCTTGCTCCCTGTCTGTGTAATTCATAAACAATCATTTATTATACACAGTACAATCAGGTGACTGACTTTTAAACAGAGTATGTTTTCTGTAAAGATAACAGGCTTGTACTAATAGTGGAATGTTTATTAGTGTTGGGTCGTTTTTGAACGATTCGTTCATTTACCCTATGCAGTCTGAGCCGGAAAGAGAATTGATTAGTTCATCTCGAGTCTTCGGGTTTTTCAAGTCGTTCGTTCATCACGTGACATACCCATAGGCTTAACCTATGCAGTCTGAGCCGGAAAGATACTTAATAATAATAACCAACTCTTTATTACCTTTGTTGCAACATTCAGTGTTATGGAAAAGAACCATAATGACAGAAATTCACACATTTATAAACTGTAAGAAGTAAAAAGCTACAATTTGAGACCAGAAATGCATCACGTAACTGTAAGAGTAAATAATAATTATAATAACTATTCACCTGTTTGTAAGGAAGCTTGTAAATGAACTAATTTCTCTATCCAATGCTGTCACGACACGTGACAAAAGAACGAATGATTCGAAAGACTCGAGAGATGAACTAATCAATTCTCTTTCCGGCTCAGACTGCACTGGTTAAGTTTATGGGGCTATCACGTGATGAATGAACAACTCAAACCCGAAGACTTGTCAGATAAGAGGTGAGGTGAGCTAATCGTAGACTGAAGACCCAGGTAAACAATGAATTAATCTTTTCTGTTTCTTATAGCAGTTTTGTATTGTTTGTAGTGTGATCAACGTCTGTGTAAGTAGTAGATGTGTTAGGGAAGTAACACGTAACATTTTAATTATATTTTGCTAAAATGAACGAAATGACTCGAAAAAAGATTCGTTCATTTTGCTGAACGAGACTCAAAGGTCCGAGTCGGTAAAATGATCCGAACTTCCCATCACTAATGTTTATTTGCAAAGGCCAGCACCGGTATTGCCAGAGCTTGAGCTCTTGAAGCTCCATCCTCTTCTGAAAAGGGGGCCGGCTGCACCAGCTCATTTGCATTTAAAGAGACACACACAAAAACGGCGCATTTTGGCTCATACCCTAAAAGTGTCAATTTTAACAAGCTATAAAAAATTATCTGTGTGGTATTTTGAGCTAAAACTTCACATATGCATTCTGGGGACATCAGAGACTTATTTTACATCTTTTAAAAAGGGGCATAATAGGTCCCCTTTAAACAGTAAAAATATTTCAATTATACTGTTTTTGCTGTACTTTGGATCAAATAAATGTAGGCTTGGTGAGCAGAATAGATTCTTTAAAAAACATTAAAAATCGTACTGTTCAAAAACAGTGTGCCACCCATGTGGCATCCTGCTCCACGTAAAATAAAACAACTTTTATTAGGCTACTGATATTCTAAAATGAGGAAACAATTACTGAGTGCACATTTAATACCACCATAATTCAGTTCAAACATAAAAAAAGATACAAATTAAAATTTTAAGCATTTAAGTCAGTATAGCCCATCCTCTTTGATTCAAGTGTCTAGCCAAGTGTTTCTTATGACCCGAAGGAAATTGAAAATACTTTTAAATCAAGCTTAAAAACACAGCAGGGCAGGCGCCTGCTGATCTGATGGTGAGGGCTTTGCTTGGCACTCATAGCACTGAGTCAACGTGCCGAGATGTGCTTGTCCTCGCCTGGAAGGTCGACTGACCCTGTCATGAGGGGTTTGTTACGCCTGGACAACTGGGGGATTTCTCTTGACAAGGTAGGAGCCATTAAAGCACACCTTGTGCCTGTTTGGCTGTGTAGCCCTGAGTGACCCTGTCTCTGTGAATCACAGCTGATGATATTCATGTGCTGAGAACACTGGGGACGGAGCTCGGGAGCAGGCAGCGAGGCTGTAGGCGTCTGTACAAATGGCTCATGTGGTGATGTGCTGCTCTGGGATGCGAGACCACTATTCATGTCACAGCACTAGTTTGGATATTTTAGAGTTTGTTCTCCCAGTAGATACTGTTATATATAATACAAAAATATACTCATATTTCTACATGACATTATATACAGTATATATATATATATATATATATATATATATATATATATGTTGTTTTTCTGAATAACATGGCCTAAAAATCTCTTTGAACCAACTTTTGGTACAACGACACATCAACAGCTGATGACTACATACTGTATATTGCAGCTTTAAAGGAATATTCCAGGTCATTTCATATATAAGTGTATTTACTGTAAACATGTTTTTGAATATCAGACTATAGGTCTATAGACTTGAATATAAGTCTATAGACATTCAGTTAAAAATAACCTCAATATATTTCTTCAAAGAAATCACCCAACAATGAAAATGAAAAAGATGATATTTTGAATGAATTAATACATAATTAAAATAAAATAAAATGCTGTTTTGGAACCCAGTTTCTTTCATTACATTAACTAAAAGATTTGAAACCTTCTTCAAATGATCTTCTTTTGAGTTCAGCAGAAACAAAAGTCACACAGATTTGGAACAACTTTGTGTGAGTAAATGATGAATACATTTAAATCTACAGCAAAAATTTGTAGTTGTGGCAGCATTTCATTGCAATAAATAAATCAAATGTCTTATCAATGCTGTAATCAGTTGTGCTGCTTAACATTTTTGTGGAAAACATTATATATTATTTAGGATTTTTTGATGAAAAGAAATTTTAAAAGAACAGCATTTATGTAAAATATGAATCTTTTATAATATTATAAATGTATTTACTGTCACTTTAATGCATCTTTGGCTGAATAATTTCTTTAAAAAAGACCCCAAACTTTTGAACAGTAGTGTATGTAGTAAAGTATATTTCATAAACTTTTTTACTTAAACTGAAATGATGTGAAATTGTATGATTCATCTGGGAGCTGATTGGTTTGGTTTATATCTTAGAATTCTTTACATGATAATATTTTGATATCCCTATGGAACAAACAAATGTGAAAAATACTTTTGGAAAAAGACCACTTGACAATTTCATGTTTGGGTGAATTATACCTTTAAGTGATGAGTTATGTGCTTAAAAATAATAAAATCTTCAGCTTTCCTACTTACTTCCATAGTCCCTGATTGTGAAGTTTCTGTTCCTGGTCTGTGAAGGGGATTTGAAGTAGAATCGGTGCTTGACAGCAGGCATGTCTCTGTCTGTGGCGCTGATGATCTGAATCACCTAGAGAACAGTCAACTGAATAAATCACCACAGAAAGAGCTTGCATATTTCGTAAAAGCACTTATAGTGTTGAAAAGACAGCAATAGTCTGTTTGATTGACAGAGCTGACGTGCTTGACTCATCAAACCTCAAAGGCATTATTTGAGGTTGCTTACTGCCTTTATGACTCAACCACATGGGGCAGAACTTATGACGGGTGCGCTGCCAACTCCACAGATCTCTGATGACAAAGTCAAGCATTCTGAGAGATTGACAGGATTTTACGTGGCAGAGACAAATATCTAGTACTCCATTCCTTTAGTATATTATGAATATGCTTTCTTACTATCAATGTGTGCAAATAAATGTTATTCCCCAGGCACAAGAAAAAACACGCAGATGATTGGTTTTAAACAGGTTCAACACTTTAACAAGTCATCAACCAATCTGTCATTGGTTGGACATACAGATAGTCCCGCCCCTAACTCAAGCTATTGGCTGAGCCATGGTTGTTGCGTCTTGCTGGTTAGTGTTTATGCTTTTTCAAAGACAGCTGTTTCTGCATATTTAACTGGGGATAAGTTTAAAACTTGAAAACATACCCAAGCATTTTTTTTTTACACATTTGTTAGTATTAATAATAATCGTGTATATTTCAACTTGTCAGGCATAAAGGATCATTCATAAAAAAAAAAAAGTAAAAATTCCAGCCTCCAAAGATATTTCATTTTTTTTTAAGTGTGTAATATTCACTTTTGTTTTTACATTTGTATTCATATTTATCATGATCTTTTGATTTGTTGTTGTCGGACATTTAGTAAATACTAATTTAATATTATTAATACATTTAAATAATCCAGTTTTAAGATTTAAACATTTCAGTTGTCTTAAGAAATTTCCATTAAATTGAAATTAATAATCTACAAATGCTCTACATATTCAGAATAGATGTGCAAATTAGGAATTAATTAAAAATATGAACTTCTAATTTTTAAACAATACAGTTTGGTAAATGCCAAAGAAACTACATTTGTGCTAGCATTGATTCATTTGTATACTTATTATACGTATTAAACATACTTAAATACGTTTAAATCATTTGTTTAAATATTTTGTCAGGAATTTCTTAGTATTGTGTAACAGCATGTAACTTGATTAATAATTGCTTCCCCATGAAAATTGCATACGTCTTCAAATGGTTTGTGTTGATTGGTTGACTGTCTTTAGTGAATTCTGAAAAGGCTTTGTTGTGTCATTTATTCCGCACATTTCTACATATAAGCAAGGGAACTTCACTCTCTGGTATGAAAGACTGAATAGGGAGACACGGATAGGCAGCATTGTACTGGGAGTAGCTCTCTTTCAGCATGAAAGGAGAAGATCAAGGCACAGTTCTCTCACATTAATTCACTGCAGCACCAACAAAAAGGCCCAGAAACTCAAATTGAAGCACATGTTATTCACACACATGCACACACACACACACACACACACACACTTACCTGTCCTACTTTTGCATTTTCACAAACAAATGTCTCATATACAAAGGCAAGTTCTGGAGGAAATTCATTGACATCCAGCACTTTGATTGTGACAGTAACTTTGCTGGACAGCAGCGGGTTGTCTGAAAGAACAAACAAAGTATTGTCCATGAATCAGATCAGTGAAAACTGCAAAAATGTCAGACACATTTCATATTTGAAAAAGGAAAGAAATAGGACAAATGAAGAATTCAGAAAGTGTTTGACGTGTTATACTGACGCCCAGTAATACTCTTGAGGATCTGATGATTTTGAAGTTGCTTTCATGTTACAATAAATCCTTATAATACATCCATTGTAGCTACAAAAACAAAAGGATTTTTGCTGGATCATTCATTTCTGAAGAAAACTTTGTAGTTGTGGCTTTTCATTTGCAAATCAGCTTGATGCGAAATAATTTACTTATTTATCTGGTCTTTTGACAAATCTCTTATTTTAACTGGATTGGTCTTTTATTTATGATTTTGACATTTTATTTGAGCCGGTATGAGTGAAGCAATGCTGTACTTTCATTCTTGTCCACTAGATGGAGATGTGGTCTTTAGAAATGTGGACTGGTATAAATGTTTATCCCCATTTCAATATATAGTTATATTATGAATGTAAACCTGCTTGGTTATCTAGGCTGTGCATCTGGATAAAACACAATCCACCATACTTACTAACTTTTGTTGCTACAACAGTGACGTTGTGTTCTGTATTTCTCTCTCTGTCCAGGGTTTCACTGACAGACAGAGTTCCTTCAACAGGGTCAATGTCAAAGTGGTTTTCAGAGTCCTTTCTCCACTCAACAGAATATCTACAAACCAATGTATCAAAGACAACAACGACAACAAAAAAAATTATCAACCAGATTAGACATGTTATGTTCAATTAAAGGAATTTCATTAGGTCCCTTTGGTAAAGATTAGAATTAGAACTCAAATATAAAATGGTGTTTTTTCCCCCAGAGTTTCACAATTATTTAAAAAGATAGAGTATTTCAACAACAACAACAAAAAAATAAATAATAAATTCTGTCATCATTTACAGTTTTGGTTTCCATTGACTTCCAATGTATAGAAAAATACACTGAGACATATCAAAATATCTTATTTTGTGTTTCACAGAACGGCATGAGAGTAAATACATTTTGTGTGAACTATCTCTTTAAGTATTTTTTTTGTGGGACATTCAATAAGTGAAAGGTGAAAGGTAATAATGGAGTATTTGATTCTTTCTAGTGATTTAAATCATTTGTGATTTTTTTTTTAGAACAAATGACTCATGCAGGCTCCTTCTCTGATTCGTTTAATGGCCCTTCCTGTAGGCTACGCTAGTAGATGGCCACAAGTGAGTGAGTCAGTTTTGAGTCTAATTCATGACTGATCTAGCCCAAAGGATTCAGTGTTTGAGTCTTGAATCTAGTTCAGCTCCATTCGGTCTTGTTCTACTTCTGACTGAATTTCTGACTGGAAAAAAAGCAGAACGATTATTATTTCTTTAATTCTCACTTTAATTGTGAATAAGGCTCCATTATTGGTCACCCTATAAGGCCATGGAGTGCAACATTCAGCTTCCCGGAAGAATAACTTCCCATTATAACTACGAGGTTGCTAGTCACGTCCTCCTGCTACGAGGGAGAGGCTTCAGTGAACAGAAAAAAATAACTGCAGGGTAGTGGTTGAAACTTTGTTGATTTCTTAAAATATTTGTTTAGAAACATCAAAAGGCTGAAAGTCTTGTGGTAATAGATGATAATGAAAACACATTTCTGTTGGATTTTCATTGACTTAACATACAGCTAATGTAGGTTTAATTGGTATAATAATTTCCTTCACAAACTTTCTGATTTAAGTTTTGACTGCCATCTACAGTATAGAGCCCTGAAATAAATGTATATTAAAGTAAATACATTTCCATCAATTCATTTCCCAAAGTCTGCAAAATTACTCCAAATCCACTGACACAATGGGAATTCATGATGTCAGCGGAGGAGACTTTGTAAAAAAAATAAAATTCAAGTAAATTTCCATTGTGTGTGTGTGTGTGTGTGTTAATACTATATCAATTATTATATATCTAAATGATTTTATAAAAAATAACTAATTATATAAATTTGATTAAATACATAAAATCGGTCACTAGATGCTGATGTTGTAGAATAATATTTGTACACTTTCTGCTTTCTGTCTGCATGTGTATGAACACTCTTGGTCTCTTTAAACTAGTCTGCTACTTTTCAGCCCACTGCTGTGACCTGCAGAGACCCCCGTTTCTTTAATATAAGCAACCTAGTGGATCAGTAAAGAAAGAGGAAGTCTGCTTTTTCCCTGTAGCACCAGACCTTTATCAGGGTTACATTCCTGCCCCTTCCTTTCTGTCTCAGGTGTCTCTCTACTCAGGTGTCTCTCTATACAAGCAAAACCTCAGCCAGAGTCTCAACTGGATTCTTCTATAAGTGCTGCTGAACACTGAACTTCACAAACTTCAGTTCTGCTGTCAGATCACCCCTCATTATATTCCATCCTCTGGGTAAGTTTTGTAAGTTATACATTTTAAATAAAGAAAACCTGACTGGAGGCGGTCTGAATATATAAATCAGATCTAATGGATGTTTGGAAATGTATTATACTCATGATTCATATTTTTTGCAACGCATGTACATTGCAGAGGTATGTGTGGTGCATAATGTACTGTATATCACGAGACATGCAAGTATATCAGCCACAATACAGTTCAACAGTGCCCATCCACTTCATTTTCCCCATAGGAATAAAAAACAAACAAACAAACAACAAGCTACAAGGTGAATCACAACATTACAAACTTTGATTTGAAGCAAAAAAGTATTTGAAAACCACGAAAAAAAGGCAAAAGTACAAGAATACTTACTTCACATTTAATGAGAGAAAGTACAGCTGAATCTAAAGCATTCTTTTGGCATGATTTGCTTGTCGAGACTTCTCTAATTGGTGATAAGAGTTTGGTTCCAAAACGCTATAAATCCATCCAGTAAAAATGTGTTTTCTTTACCAAGAAAGTGGCAAGATGAAAACCACTATTTTCCGTTTCAAACGTTCACATAGCATCTTTAGGTTGTAATAACATAAAAAAATTCAAATCCAGATTTTGATTTTTAAAGATTTATTATAAAAACTGATTTTTTTCCCTCCCAAAATTCAATAAATCTATTGAATCAATATAAAAGTTATTTTTCATATTGAAACTGTTGAAAATACACAACAAAGTACCCAGATAGATTGTTTGTTTTACCGGTGGTGTAAAGGAATAAAGATGACTCTTACAGCATGTTTAATGGTTTTTATTTGATGATTGTTAATGCATCATTGTGTCATGAGTTTATTTTAAGGGGGCCCATCATAACTAAATCATTATTAATAACCCATACACTAACATTAACTCATGGCTTGTTAATGCATTATTTTGACATTACTTGAGGGGGCCCAATCATAATTAATTCGCTGTTAACTACCTACTAAATTCAGCTCATGATTTATTTTATACTTACTATCAAATACACATGTACTAACACAGCGAGTATTTAGCCCCTGTTAAGAGATGTGGTGTGGATTTTCAAGAAGTCAGAGAGCGGAGGTACAGTGTCATCACGGCCTGCATCTGGATGGACAGAGAACTATTTCCGGGCATTTGTTCAGGATTGTTCTACAAATGTTCTTTGTGGATTTTGAGGTTTTATTTGTATTCCAGAGTATTTCTTATTATTTCTTAAAGAGGCTGTTTGATTTAGTTTACCCATAAATGGTAATTAATGCATTAACTATCAAACATGTGCTAACATGTAATTAAGGCTAAAATTAATCCATATGACTACAGCTGTAGTTAAGGATAGCTCTTCATTAATTCATGATTAGTTAACAACTTTAATAATCGTTAGTATTTGATTAATTAAGTATTCATGTAGGCATTAGTACAAGATTATTCATGTACCCTTATTGTAAAGTGTTACCAGTCATAATGTAGTTTTTCACCAGAATTTTGATGTTAAACAAGTAAAAATGCAGCCTTGTAGCTCACAGTCTGTTCAAAAATCAGTTTACTTATAAACAAAAACAGAGTGTGATATATTTAACAGTTCAATAAACAAGAAGTAAATATTGAGTAACTTACATTTTACTCACAATATTGACAGTAACTTTGTATTTTTTTTGTAGAATCTTGTAGAATCAACCACCATGTCTCAGAGCAACAAAGCCAGCAGTGGCATTCTTGAATGAATCAGGTTTCAAACAAATCGTTCCAGCAAATATTTCAATGACTTTTTTTTTAAAGATGAAACAGTTTTCATCAGTTTCAGCAATTCTGGTAGATCGCGCTTTAGGTCAGTGGGGCACGAGATAACGTAAAACTAAAATATATTCACTAATGTTATGACTAATATGTGAAATAATGTAAAAAAAAAAAAAATAA